AGAGAGGTGGGGAAAGGGGGACAAGCCAACTAAGGCAGTGAGGGAGAATCGTATAAGGTGCAAGAACCACTTTGCTGGATGGGGCCAGAGGTCCCTCTAGGTCAGCACGTACGTTTCCAAAAGCAGATCTGGAAACTCACAAGCAAAGCGTATTGTCAACAGCTCCTCTATCCCTACACAAAAAGTAACTGTCTTGGAACATGGAGGTTCAGTTTCTCTAAAGTATCTAACACCGGTCAATAGGCTTCCTGCTCCGTGTACATGTACATTTTCCTCGGTCTGAATCGCAAGCGAAAGGAGTCCCCCCCTCCCCGACTGGACTTGGCCACAGCAACTTTCCGTAGCCTTGAGGCAACTCCTCATAGTTTTGATACCCCCCTGTCCCATCCAGTTACAGGTCACCTCTGAGCCCCAGCAAATGCAGAGGGACTCCTGCTTTTGTGCCCGCCTCCTCGCAGGCATCAGGCCAGTCACCGTTGCACACAGTGCACCGTTGCACATACCACACAGACTTTGCTCTGATATAGCAAAAGCAAATTCCTATGCACTTGTCACGGCTCAGATGGGGTGTCACCTGATGCTGCCACCACTCTGGATTTAGATTCCCTTGAGAAGGCCCAGAGCACCCTCCCAAGACCTTCAAACCTCCCTTTTGGCCAAATAATAGGCGTGAGGACCAGGCAGAGTAAACAACAAGGGAAAGGTTTATTTTATAGGAGGTCAAACAACAAAGGTGCAGAATAACAGTAAGTGGGTGAAGAAAAAAAATCAAATGCCCTTACGCATCTAAATATACTGTCCCTAGCTCACTATCCGCAGTGGCCTTAGACTACTCACCCTTCCCTCAGGATGAGGGTCTCTTCCCTGCAGCAGCCTTCCTTCTGGCTCTGCCCTCTGGGAAGAAGAACAGCTTTTCCTGCTGCTCCAGATCTTTTATTCCAAGCCCTCCTCTCTTTTCCTATTGGTCAATTTTGGCTCCAAAACCTCTCAGGGTCTTCTGGGAGTTGTAGGCCCAGCCTCACCTACTGCAAGCCAGGCTTCCTGGGCCTAGTAGACCCCCGGTGGCACAGCCCAGATCATGACAGCACTTCATTCAGTGTGTGGCTCTGCCCCCAAGATGGGGAAGGCCCATATTTATTATTTACATTTGTATCCCGTCCATCCCACGGACGGGCTCAGGGCGGGTAGCATCATTAGAGTCAATACAGTTTCCATTTAAAACGCTATAAAACATTATAACAATTAAAACAATGGGTACAGCTTGAAACAGCGTCAGTTGGCTATAAAGTTCTGGCCCGATGGTGCAGTGAGTTAAAGCCCAGTTGCTGGTGGTCAGTAAATAAGACGGCAGACAGCAACCTCAGGGGGGCCATAGATGGGCGCCCGTTGCCTCAAACAAAGGCCTGGCGGAAGAGCTCCGTCTCGCAGGCCCTGCGGAATTGAAGACGATCCCGCGGGGCCCTGGTCTCAATAGGGAGCATGTTCCACCAGGCTGGAGCCAGGACAGAGAGAGCCCTGGCCCTGGTCGAGGCAAGATGGGCGTCCTTCGGGCCGGGGACCACCAGGAGGTGTTGATCTTTCGAGCATAATGCTCTTTGAGGCATATATGGGAGGAGGCGGTCCTTTAGATATGTGGGTCCCAGGCCGTATAAGGCTTTGTAGGTCAAAACCAGGGCTATTTTTGGGCAGGAACGCACAGGAACAGAGTTCCGGCTGGCTCCCGAGTTGGCCACGCCCAACAGGAACTCATTAGCATAATAGGCCACACCCAACAGCAGGAACTCATTAGGATTGGCTACATTAGGGGTGTGTGGCCTAACATGCAAAGGAGTTCCTGCTACAAAAAAAGCCCTGGGTTTTGACAACAGACAAGGTAAACAGAATAAGAAGCAAAAGGTGGGTGTGGCTGGATGACCACAGTTCTGGTAACGTGGGGTGTGGCCTAATATGCTAATGAGCTGCTCTGTCAGGGGTGTGGCATAATATGCTAATGAGTTTCTGCTGTTGGGTGTGGCATACTATGCTAATGAGTTCCTGCTGGGCTTTTTCTACAAAAAAAAAAGCCCTGGTCAAAACCAACACCTTGAAGCGAATCCGGTACTCAACTGGCAACCGATGCAATTGGCGGAGGACGTGCCTAACAAAGGCAGCCCTTCTAGAAGGCATTCTGACTGCAAGACTGGACAACGCATCCATTGCTTGCAAGCCCAGCCCCGGCCTTCGGTGTTCTCAACCGTGCGGGTGTGAGTTTGAACACGCTAATTGGAAAGCAGCATATTAATTTGCTGCTTTTGTAAATACCCCCAGAGGCCTCTTCCAAGCAGTTCTTCATAGCCTTGACAAGGAGAACAGAAAGCTCGATGGCCCTTTTACGGCTTGCTTCGTGAGTGGGATGCGAGAGGATCGCAACAAAGCTGTGGTGTGGCGGGGGGGGGGGGGGTCCTTGTAATGGTTCGTCCTTCGCTATCCTTCCCAGGTCTCTGAAAAGTTAGATTCAAGTCCAGTTAACGCCTTAAAGACGAATGAAATTTTCGGAGTGCGAGCTTTAAAGCTCCCTTCATCAGGTGGAACTCTCTGCCGGACAACATCCGTGCCCTGCGGAACTTAAGGCATGTAAGGTAGCGATGTTCCACCAGGCGGAAGATGAAGAAGAAGAAGAGGAAGAAGAAGAGGAGAAGAAGAGATTGGATTTATACCCCGCCCTTTTTGTGGTCCTGTGTCTCAGAGCGGCTTACAAACTCCTTTTCAAGGACAGCTGTTGTCAGAACTATGGCTTGCCCAAGGTCATCCAGCAGGTGCAAGTGGAGGAGTGGGGAATCAAACCCGGTTCTCCCAGATTAGAATCCACGCACTTAACCACGACACCAAACTGGTTGAGGATGGTGTTCTACCTGGCTGCCACTCCTGTTCTTCCTGTTTTTTTCCTGTTTTCCCAGTGGCATACTTTGGCAGTTTATCGCCATCTTAATTTGCCATTGTTCATAGTGTATTATTATTTTAATATTCTGGGAACGCTGTCGTTTTAATGTTTTGGGGGACGCTGCTGTTTAAAACCGACGATGTCGCTTTGACGCTTCTATGACATACACCGCCCCGAGCTCTCTTTTTAGGGCGGCTTAAGAATCTAATTAAATAAATAAAAATGCAAGTCGGGACGGAGATCCCTGAGCCGTTATATCCCTGTCAGAAGGCGGGAGGGGTGCTTGCATTGTGCCTTTGGATCCCGGCCCCTCCCACCTTCTGACTGGGATGTAAGGGCTCGGGGATCACCGTTCCGACTTGCATCTGATGAAGGGAGCTTCGACTTCTGGAATCGCGGACCCCAAAGATCCCGTTGGTCTCTAAAATGCAGACCAGTGCGGCTGCCCTCTGAACCTTCCCAGGCCCCTGATGCACCTTCTTTTGCGTCTCAACTCCTGAATGGGGCGGGGCACGTGGAGGGTGAGGATGGAGAAGTCCTTCTCTTTCTGCCTACACCTCCACGGGGAAATTCAGAGCTCAGGATTGCCCTTGGCCCAATCAGGAGGGAAGACTGTAACCAATCCTGGGAAAGGGGGGCAAGGATCTGGAGAAACGTATAAAACCCACTTCCCCAAGACCTCAATGGGCATTTCCTGGTGTTGCTCAGCAAAGTTGTTGTGGCTGTGGGTTGGAAACTGGGGAAATACGTGTGGGTTGATCGGATCCAGCAGTCTGAACCAAGGTAAAAGAAGAAGAGGAGGAGGAGGAGGAGGAGATTGGATTTATACCCCGCCTTTCACTCGGACTCTCAGAGCGGCTTACAGTCTCCTTCCCTTCCTCTCCTCACAACAGATGCCCTGTGAGGTAGGTGGGGCTGAGAGAGCTCTGAGAGAACTGTTCTGGAGAGAACAGCCCTGAGACAACTTGTGACTGACCCAAGGTCACTCCAGCAGCTGCACGTGGAGGAGTGAGGAATCAAACCTGGTTCTCCCAGATTAAGAGTCCATGCACTGCCACCAAACTGGCCCAAGTGAACTAAGGACCAGTTCAAGGTAGCTGCACTAAGGAATCCCTTGTTATTTTCTTCCCTTTCGTCTGTTCCGGGGCTCCCCAAAACGGTGCCCCTGGGCACTACGGTGCCCACCGACACCTTTCCTGGCGCCTGACCAGGTCATTTTAGAAAATGGGTGAGACCAGAAGGGGGTTTTGTCCAGCAGGGCTTCTGACCGGCTATACGGATTTTTTAAAAATGTTGCTTTGGCAACAGCTGTGACCTCTGCACAAGGCTCTTCACCGTGTGACTGGAGATACGTTGTGATTATACAGGTAAAGGTAAAGGTTCCCTTGCTCGAAAGCCAGTCGAGTCCGACTCTAGGGTTGCGGTGCTCATCTCCGTTTCCAAGCTGAAGAGCCAGCGCTGTCCGAAGACGTTTCCATGGTCATGTGGCCGGCATGACTAAACACCAAGGCGCACGGAACGCTGTTCCCTTCCCACCGAAGTGGTACCTATTTGTCTACTTGCAATTTCTTGCTTTCAAACTGCTAGGTTGGCAGGAGCTGGAACTAGAGATGAAAGCTCACTCCGTCATGCGGCAACCCGGGTCTCGAACTGCTGAACTACCGACCTTCCACAGCCTGCAGTTCAGCATCTTAACCACTTGAGCCACCGCAGCTCTACGCGATTATACAAGGAAGTATTTAAAAACAGCATGCTCATTTTAAAAGGCATCTTGTTAAACAGGGATTTTGCTTGAACGCATTGATTTTTTTGTGGATGGCTGTGCCCCCTGCACCAGCCAGGCTGCATGTGCGCCCACCACTCTGTGTTAGAATTGCAAAGGTGCCCCACGGGTTCAAAAAGGTTGGGACCCCAGTGTTAGGCTAAGAAGGGGGGATATCCTCTGGAACAAAAGTTTAGGTCAACTGGTCAGCTTTTTGAAAACGACAAGTTACCAGCAACTATTTGCACTCTTTAAGCTCTTCTTAGCCAGCATGGTGAAGTAGTTAAGAGCGGTGGACTCTAATCAGGAGAGCCAGGTTTGATTCCTCACTCCTCCACATGGAGCCTGCGGAGTGGCCTTACAACACAACAAGAGCCCTGCTGGGTCCATCCAATCCAGCATCTCGTCCCACACGGGGGCCAACCAGTACCTCTGGAGGGCCAACAGCAGGGCAGAGAGGCCGAGGCCTTCCCCTGATGTTGCCTCCTGTCACTGGGATTCAGAGGCTGAGTGCTGCTGAACATGGAGGTTCCCTTTAGCCCCTGTGACTAGTAGCCACTGATGGATCTCTCCTCCATGAATCTGTCTAAAGCAAACCCCTTTTAAAGCTGTCTATGTATATGGCCATCACTACATCCTCTGGCAGCAAGCAAGCGATTTGACTACTGCATAAGTTAGTTGGCTCTGGAGCCCTCCTTCCTGAGCGAAGACAAAAAATGTGTAAGCCGGAGGCTAAAAAACTGTGAGCTGGCTCACACTAACACAGCTTAGAGGGAACACTGCTCCTGGCACTGGGATCTGGAGGATTAGCACTTCTGAATGTGGAGGTTCCCCATAGTCACTGTGGCTAGTAGCCACTGACAGACCTTTCCTCCAGTCCCAGTTCTCTCAGAACCCTCTCAGCGCCCCCCCCCCCGCCTCACAAGGTGCCTGTTGTGGTGAGAGGAAAGGAATCTGATAAGCCGCTTTGTGACTCCTTCAGGTAGAGAGCAGCGGGGTTAAAAAAAAACAAACCCTCCTCCTCTTCTTCGAATTCTTAAAAGACCAGACCAAGTTCCAATTGTATTCCACCCCGTTGCACACTTACCTTCGCTGTGCTGGCTGCCTGCACTTCCCCCTCCGTAGCTGTAGCCGGGGTCAGGAAATCCTGGGTGGGGGTTGTACGGATGAGGCGGCGGGTACTGGTACGGGAAGGCCATGGGCCACGGGGCAGCTCCCGGGTGGGGCAACGGAGCCAACGTGTCCTGGTCTGAGGCGCCACTGGATCCATCATGGTCGTGCAGAGACAGGTTGGCCATGTCTGAAAGGGAAGCGGAGAATGGGGAGAAATTAAACCACGGTCAGAGGCAGTTACGCGGGGGGGAGAAGGTTCCCTCAATCCACCCTGGCCCTCCTTCCTCTCTCTCTGTTTTCACTGTTCGTGTTTTAGTTAACTGTTGTTTTTAATTATTTTTCTACTGTGTTGTTTGAAAGCGTGTTTTAATGTTTTCGATGGTGTGTCGCCCTGGGGATCGTTAAGCTGGGCCGGAAGGTGGCATAAAAGTGTTCTTAAGTGGACGTGCCGTCGAGTCGCAGAAGACGTACGGTGACCAGTGTTCCCACTAAGCTGAGTTGGTGTGAGCCAGCTCACAGTTTTTTAGCCTCTGGCTCACAGACTTTTGCCTTAGCTCAGGAAGGATGGATCCAGAGCAAACTGATTTATGCAACAGCCAAATTGCTCGCTCACAACTTTAATAGCCAGTAGCTCACAAAGCAGAATTTTTGCTCACAAGACTCCACAGCTTAGAGGGAACATTGATGGTGACTCCGTAGTGTTTTCAAGACGAGAGACAAATAGAGGTGGTTTTGCCATGGCTTGCTTCTGTGTAGCAACCTTGGACTTCCTTGGCGGTCTCCCATCAAAGTACTAACCTGGGCCAACCCTGCCAGCTTCCAACGACAGTAGTTACATTTGAGTTATCACCTTTGTTAATATTATCCCAGTTGGGAGCCTGTTTATGTGGATCGTTATACACCAGACTGTGAACCCCTTTTGGGTCCATGATAATCATGTGAAATTGCCCTTTTTGTGATACGATACACTGACTGATACAACAGACACGACTGAAAAAGATCCCGAAACAAGGTCACATCCGGAATCCTTGTCTCGTGACAAAAGTGTAGTATTGATTCCACGGCTGCATACGGAGTCTGGAGCCCCGTTAGTTTATGAAGACGTTTACAACGTCCCCGCAATTGTTTATACATTGATTTGTACTGCCTGGCTCCTTTTGTGGACAGCTCAAAGTTATGAGCTGGGTTTCATCTACGATTTCTTTGCTGTATGTTTATGTTGTAACTAGGCTTCCCAAGTCCCCCCAGGGGGCAGGGAAACCCCCACCCCAGAAGCCCGTTCCCCGCCACCGGCGGATTGGGCCCCGGGGAGAACCCCACCCCGACGTGCGCGTCACCCGGAAGTGACGCAACCACGCCGGGCACGCTGGGGGCGGGGCCACGGTCATCCGAGGGAAAACTCTATGGTTTTCCCTCAGATGGTCGTGGCCCCGCCCCCAGCGTGCCCGGCGTCGTCACGTCACTTCCGGGTGACGTGCGTGCGGCGCGGGAGTCCCCCGGTAAGGAGATATTTCGACTTGGCAACCCTAGTTGTAACACTGATTGTTACATTTACTGTCTTTAAGACATTTGATAGTATGGTATTGCGAATAAAGTTTCTAATTCAGAGCAGTTTAGGGCTACATGGCGTTTATACTCCCTTCGACAGCTTCTGAGATCTGACAAGACCGGGCTAGCCTCAGCCATCCGGGTCAGGACGCAATAAAATAAATAGTATATGTTTGTGTGCGTAAACTGCAAGCAAGCAACAGCCAACTTATGGTGACCCCAGCAAAGAGCCTTTCAGGGCAAACGAGAAGCAGAGGTGGCTTTCCATTTCTTTCCTCTGCAGAGTCTTCCTCAACAGGCTCCTTTCCAAGTGTCATGATCTGGGCTGTGCCACCAGAGGCCTACTAGGCCCAGAGAGCCTGGCTAGCAGTAGGTGAGGCTGGGCCTACAACTCCCAGAAGCCCCTGAGAGGTTTTGGAGCCAAAACTGACCAATAGGAAAAGAGGAGGGCTTGGAACAAAAGATCTGGAGCAGCAGGAAAAGCTGTTCTTCTTCCCAGAGGGCAGAGCCAGAAGGGACTGACGCTGCTGTGGGGTAGAGACCCTCATCCTGAGGGAAGAGTGAGTAGTCTAAGGCCACTGCAGATAGTGAGCTTGAGACAGTATATTTATTTTATTTATTTTCGATTTAGATGCGTTAGGGCATTTGATTTCTTTTCTTTTCACCCACTTACTGTTATATTTCTGCACCTTGTTTGTTTGACCTCTTATAAAATAAACTATTTTCATTGTTCACTCTGCCTGGTCCTCATGCCTGTTATTTGGCCAAAAGGGAGATCTGAAGGTCTTGGGAGGGTGCTCTGGGCCTTCTCAAGGGAACCTAAATCCAGAGTGGTGGAAGCGTCAGGTGACACCCCACCTGAGCCGTGACACCAAGTACCAACCCAGCTTCGCTGCCGAGATGTGATGAGATCAGGCTGCACCGTGCCGCTTTCCCTCCCAGAAATACAGTAATATATGTAGAACAAAGTTAAGAGTCCAGCGGCACCCTTAAGATTGACAAGGTTTTATCCAAGGTGTAAGCACACTTCGTCAGATACCCGAAGAACTGTGCTTGCACACGAAAGCCTATACTCAGGGCCTGTTCCGCAGGGCCTGCAAGACGGAGCTCTTCCGCCAGGCTTTTGCATAGGGGCCACCGCTGCCACCACCACCAACGGTGGCAGTATCACCAGGATTAGGAATCACCCTTGGAAGCTCCGCCACAAATCGCGTGGCACTGACAATGTGGGATTGGCTTGAACTACCTGCCGGACAGTGTCAACCCAATGGGGAGGATTTGAAGATGCCCTCAATACCACTCAAGACCATCTTGTCTACAAAAAGCACTTTATTACTGTTACTGTTGTAATTATTCATGATTTATAAGTACCAACCCAGCTTAGCTGCCGAGATGTGATGAAATCAGGCTACACCGTGCCCCTTTCCCTCCCAGAAATACAGTAATAGATGTAAAACAAAGTTAAGAGTCCAATGGCACCTTTAAGACTGACAAAGTTTTATCCAAGGTATAAGCACACTTTGTCAGATACCCAAAGAACTGTGCTTGCACACGAAAGCTTATACACAGAATTAAACTGTGTTGGTCTTAAAGGTGCCACTGGGCTCAAACTTTGTTCTGCTGCTTCAGACCCAACACGGCTGACCACCTGAGTAATATATGTAAAATCACTATCACTTGCCTATCAAATTTAATTGAGCCGTGAGCAGGTGAGATGGGGGGGCGGGGCATAAACCTTGCCCCATGATAGGAGTACATGCTTAGCAGAGTTTCCCCACCTTTTCTCTGCCTGCCAGAAGTGCAGGCAAAATGGAAAAGGATGTGGGATCTTTGGGAAAACTGCAAAATCTCCAAAGCAAAGCAAGAACTAATAATGGTAACGTTAATCGCTGGTAGACATTGGCAGTCTGCATCAATTCCATTGCTGCAAGAACGGCACTTATTCATAAGACTACGTGCAATTTGGATACATTCTGAGATACCTCACGCCAATCCAGTCTCTTAGAGACATGGCAACCTCTAATGCTCCAGTGTTGGGTCAGATCTCTCAAATGATTGCTATGTTTCAAGTGAAAGCCAACTCTCCCTTCTCTGCTCACACTGAATGGATTGGATCTATCCCTTAGTCCAGGGGTCATTTCCTGCGGGAGCGCACAGGAGCGGAGGTCCGGCAGTAAAGAGCCCAGGGGGTGGGCACATGCAGCAAGCC